AGCCTGTTGAGAGATGTGTAACATTCCAGGTTCATAATAAAGTTAAACTTCATTAAAAAAACTAAACAGAAACCAAACCTTTACAGTATCACTTTTTCCAGAGGGCTCATTCAATGAACACAATGGGCTACATTCTCTGAATAATTATGCAATATTATCTTATCTTCTTCATTCAATATGCACCTTACCCCATACCATAATTCTGTATTACGTGAATTTTGCTTTAAGTTTTCATTTGTCAAACACTGTAGTCCCTTGATATTTCTACATACTCAGCTTTATAACACCCTGTTTTAAACAATAGGGAACTGAAGGAAAGGATCCTAGGTCCAAAATGGCAAGTGGCCACTAATTTTGGGCACTCAACTTAAGAAATGTAGTGGTCTCATACACAATCAAGGCTTTTTAAAAAAAAGAGTTTACATGTTCATAATATAAAACTCTCATTAACTTCAGTTAGTTTGGAGTTGAGAGAACTTCTTTAAGATCAGGCCCCTTGTGGTTCAAGATTAGCATTCAGAAAAAGTGTGTTATTAGAATCTACTTGTGAAAAAGGAATGAGTACATATGTCATACCAACTGTCATGGACATACACCATCCACAGATTCATGCAGAGTGGTATACACCTACAGGGTACAAGATCAGATGCTTGTGGGTAGTAACATCAAGTGGGGGCATGCCCTTGTGCTCCTTTCAGATAGAAGGCAATCCAGGATCAGGTCCACTGCCAGTAGCAATACTACTGGTGGGTTCCTATCAGCGGCAATGAAAGCCAGAGTACGGAATCTGCATCAGCAACATCTTTAAGAATCACAGTTACTGTACACCAAGTAGCTGTTACTCATTCAAGTGATAATCTGTGCACATTCTACATGAAAATTTAAAAAAAAAAAGTGAACCAGCCAGTTACCCCTAGAGAAGGAGGCAGAGAAGTAAAGGTCTGCTTGAAGAAAAAAAGCCTGTATCTTACTTACTTTTACATCAGTAAATAATGAGAAGCAAGTTGTGGCTTAAACTCCAACCTGAAGTCATTCTCTTAAAGATTTTTGCCTTGTTCAGGTGTTTGCCAATATTAGTCAGGCAGGTTACAAAGACTACATGAGCTTGGAGTGGAATAAGCATGTCTCTCCAGGAGAGAAAACAAAAACAACAAACAAACAAAAAACCACTTGGCCAAAACCTAGCATATCTGATGATCACAGGAATTTGATGGGGCTGTCCCTTAAAATGCCTTTGATTTTGTGGCATTTACTGAAGACAAGATGTACATGGTTCTCTCTAAATGAGTTTATCTGGAAAAAATAGCGCAAAAAAATCTAACCCGTGACATCTTAGTTGAGTGCAGCTTAAAAAAGGAAGCAGGGAGGTTAAGTCAGAACCCATCTTAAAAACAGAAGTTTTGTGCAAGACTTGAGAATGACCCTTTCTGGGATAGGTGTACAGCAGACTATAGGATCAAAGAGATAAAAAACAGATAAGAAGCCTAGATTAGCCTCCTGCAAAGCTGGCAAGCAGGTCCACTTGAAGGTACCCTCACTGCCAGAAGGACACCCTGGAGAAAAGTCTTTTAGAACTACTTGAGGCTTTCTTAAATGTTTCTGCCCAAATAGTCTCTCACTGTGCTCTGAAGAAAGAGGGAGATGTAGGGCTATTGGGGTCACATAATGACAAAGCACAACTGTCACAACTTTGACAGCAGAACAGTTGGATTTCTTTTGGCTTGGTGATGTATTTTATTATCATGGCTGTCATGAGCACGTTTCCATGTTATATCCCCAAAGGCTGCAAGAAAGCTTTGTACTTGCGTCTCAGTCCCCCCCCCCACAAAAGGAAATGCATAAGGTGGCCTCCAGCTGATGATTATGTGATCAATAAGATCAAGAAATTACCTCTGCATAAATATTTTTGACTACAATCTGCTGGCAAAAGAAAAAGCCAGATTCTTATGTCAAACCGATATATTCCTGAAACACCAGGGTTGTAGGTAGCCAAGAGGGTTTCCCATATTCTTCCTTCCCCAGGGTTTCAAGGATTTTTGCTGTGGGTAGTACTTAAACTGCTGTCTCCAAGAGCAAAAAGGAAGTTTTAGGAATTTCTTCTTTGGAGCTGGGACACAAGACCAAGACCCCCCCCCCATCATGTCAGACTTATGTAGTATAAAGTACACCAAGTGCCACTTAAACTATATACTACTTCAATGTAATATGGCTTTTCAAGCTCCTCTAGCTGATCTTTAAGGATCTGCTTCCTAATACTGAAAGCTCTGTTCCCCAGGAATTTGTTTTCAGGAAGTAGCAATGGACTATTTTACTACTCTAATCTGAACAGTGTTGAAGATGATGTCCAACTTTCTTAGGCTTCTTCCCACAGAGTTAGCTTTTGCTTAGCCTAGGGCAGTGGCAGGGAGTTATTTGGGTCCATTAGCCACACAGGCAGTTCTGGGAAGCTGCCACAGGCTGGACAGCACCCCCCTCCACCCCTCTTTTCTGCACAAGAACCCAGACCCCACACACCCTGCAGCTCCTCCCTGCCACTGCCAACAGCACATGGCCCCTGGCCTTCCCCACACCCACTCCAGACTCACACTGGCAAGAGCAGACCAGCCAGAACCCATGCGTACAGCCCCAACCCACCCCGCACCTGCTCCAGACTGCCCACCCACACCAAGCAGAAGCTGCTGATTGGTGTGAGGGAAGAGTGGCCACTCTCCCTTGATACTACTGGGCCTTTCTTGCTGTAGCGGCCCAGAGCTTGCGTCCAGGCTGCCACGCAACTCCTTTCTGCCACCATCACTGCCACTTCAAAGCCACCCAGCAGAGCAGCAGAGAGCAGCCACAGGGCAGCCCAGGCATGGGCTCAGGGCAGGTGCAGCAAGGAGGACCAAGCTGCAGCAAAGGGGTGGGGCTGCTTTTCCCCTGCACCAAGCAACAGCTGCTGCCTGGCTGCCCACTGCTCAGTGTGGGCAAGTGAGTCTGGAGCAGGTGCAGGGCAGGCCAGGGTCAGGGATGCGAGTGCAAGTTCCAGCTGGCCCAGAGCTGGTCTACTCCAAGCTGAGTCTGGAGCAGGCATGGGCTGGGCTGGCCTCAGGATTGTGCATGGGGGGCCCTGCCAATACCATGGGGCTAGGTCCAGTGGCAGCAGCAGCAGCCAGAAGGAGCTGCCACTGCTTCCTAGAAAAGGTAGTCCAGCTGTGAAGGGCTTTTGAAAAGGATGTGGCGTGGCTGATCTAACAAGGATGACTGTAGATTAAGCCAACTGCCTAAAAGGATGCAACAGAGCTTTGTACTCTCAATGCAGATACCCCATTCCCACTTTAAACAAGAATAAGTGCTGTGAAGGGGACAGGCAACTGTGCAGCTACATGTTGCCTGGTTTCCTGGGCAGCTGCCAGCCAGGTCAGTCTTTTCCAGGCCAGATTTGCATAAGACTTGAGGAGGCCACAGGGTTCTGGTCCTACAGCCAAGGGTGATGAAAAGGAACAATACACAGGATGCAACTCTCACTCCAGGACTTAAGCTCAGGGGAACAAGGAGCCATTTAAAAGCAGATTCAGTACCAATAGGGCCTGTTATTCAAAAACAAGTTCTGATTTTGTACATGTATCCCAGATGCATGTAAAGAATATAATTTGCATGGGCAAGCTAGGACCTAGTCTGGTTCTTGCAACTTACCCACTATTACACTAACCCCTCTGGCATAGACAGCTATAGATACTATGCCTCCAAGGTGGAGAGATTTAGGACATGCGCTATGAAGCATTAAAAAAAAAAGAAAAGGATAATTTCCACACAGACATATAGGCCCCAACTGCTCCTCTACTGGAGCATCTTGGAACTGGGAGACTGGGAAACCCACAAGTCCCAACATACTCCAGAGTTCATACACAAAGGCGCTTCAAAATGTTAGCATGAAGTATGACTTAAGGCATCAAAAGGCCAAAATTAGAGCGCTTTAGCCATTTTTAGAGTTTCAAAGAGTGGGCATGCCTATAATGTTTGTTCCCACTATCATAGTATGCCTTAACTAAGGACTGATCTTTCTGCAGCTTACCTCATTTACTATATGCTTTCCAATTTCTGTTGGAACCAAGGCAGGAGATTGGGGTTATTTTATCCATCTCTGCCATTTAACTCAATAAGAACTATCCAACTTGTGTAAGGACAGAAGTAGGAATATAATGAAAAAAGATTCTAAATTGTGCAATTAAAAGCTGTACAAAAGGCATAAAGACAAGGAACAAGTTAAGGCTGCACCACAGTCTTTATTCTGTCACTTTTAAAACCTTAATTTATCTCACAAGTTTAGCAACTTTAGTCAAACACCAAATGGATTTCCTACACTTAGAAGAAAAGCACAAGGGAAACAAGGGATTCCATCTCATGGAATTCTACTGGTCTCACATGGATCACTGGACTTAAAAAGGTTTAAAAACTGCTGAAGTAGAAGTAATAAGAAACTACCAATGAAAATCAGATGAATAGTTTTCTAGTGGGCTTCATAGCAATTAGGTAAACTACACAGGAAAAATGAGACACTAGAATCTTAGTTCTTTTCACGTGGGAAAGTGCTGTAGTGGTCAGATCCTTAAAAAAACCCCACTCAGTAACATCTCTTAAGAATTCTGGGAGAGAGAAGAAAAAAACCCAGCTTTAAACACCTCATTCTGGAGTTAATACCCAGTTTCACTAACCCCCACCCCCCAGTAACTCTGAAAAGATGATCAAATCACAGGGTTTTGCTTTTGGTTTGTTTGGTTTTTGTTTTTTTTTGGGGGGGGCGGGGGGGGAGGGAGTTAACCAAAGTAATGAACAAATGACACTTGAAGCAAGACCAAAATTATATTTGTCTGAAAAATGTAAAATGTTAAAATTGCGATTAACACTTACGAAATTGTATTCATGTAGAATTAGTGAGCCCAAGATTATTTGTGTTTTAGCTGTAATACGTTCATCTTGAAATAAAAATTTAGTTGGTCAAAAAAAGGTAGTTAAATACTTACTTATTTCACTGGCAACCTGATCTAGCTTTTCTTGAGATCTGCTGACAAGAGCTACTTTCATTCCACACCTTGCTAACTGAAAAACAAAGAGATACAAAGTCAACCAAAACACAACTACATTCCAGGTTACTAAAAAGTTACCATGAAACATGATACAGGATATATTGACCAGGAACAGGAAGTCAGAAAAAACTAATACTACTACAATGTCATTATGCTAGTGCACTTGTGTGAATATGATCTATGTGTGTCTGTACTCAAGTACAGTTTTAAAGAAAAAAAGCCTTACCTCTTCTGCATAGGCTTTTCCAATTCCATCTGTGGCACCTGTGACCACTAAAAAAAGAGGAAGAAAAAACCCATTAGCTACCTTGACATCTACCAATGGTGTGGTCATTACTAGCCTAGTAATGAACTTCTGACAAAAACAGCCCTTCAAATCAATTCCCCATATGTGGTGTATGACTCTTTTTAATAAAAGCTTTAGAAAAACAAAAGAATTAGAAGCATCTGTTTTTCTTGCGTCGGCACAAGAAACTTCGGAAGTATGAGGAATAAGAGCTTGGAGCCAGCTTGTTGGGGGGGGGGGGGGGGGGGGGAGGGGGGGGGGGGTGAAATGGATCAAGAGTTTGATGAATGCCTGTACAAATTTAATACTTATTTCTGTGTTGTGCTCTACAGTGCCCTTTCAGCAATTCTTTGCCACTGAACAGCAGCTATCATTATACTGCTGCTTAATGATCTCTTTATGAACTAGATTAGCACTCCCATTTACCATATTTACCTGAATCCAAGGTGATATACACCCACCTCCAATAATTAGGTTCCATACATGTAAACTATAAACCGTTGCAATTTACTATATGTAAAATGGAAGGTCATCATAAATTCATGTTCCACTTCCCTGTTGTGAGGAGTGGGTATTGGCCCCTGTACCTTGCCCCCCCCCCCACTTGCCTTCTACCTGCCTACCCCTGGTGTCTGCCTCCACCCCAACCCCTTACCTCCCTAGAGGACTGCCCCCACCTCCCTCCCTCAAACTCTCTCATTACATACTCCCTTCCATACCTACCAGCATACGTGTTCTCTTTTTAACCCCTTAAATGCCAATTATAATTAAATTGGACATTACACAATTCTCCTGCAGGTACCCCAAGATGTCTTGTGTACCCCCAGGGACATGAATGCCAGGAGTTGGGGAGTCCCTGGTCTAGATAATGAAATTTTACCCTTAAAGTTCACAGAAGAGCAGCTGCTTCCCCCCCCCCTATTGTTCAACTCTATGACAAAGTACATTCTTAGTACTTGGGCCCCAAAAGCTTACTGTATTAAACAAGCTGGACTGGGAGTCTTAGTCCAATTCCCTAATCAGCTTTCATTCTATAAAATCTTGCACAACTAATTCTTAGGAATTGCTGAACATCATGACTGGGCAGCTATAAGTTCTCTTTTGAAGCATCCTATTACAAGTCTTGCTAGTGATACTCAAAACAGAAGCCATCATCTCCCCTGAAGTTCACTTATGGCGGTTAGGTACCATCAACAGGGCTGCCGATGTTTGACTAATGAGTGAATTGGAAGCTGGTTTCGAGTGCTCATGCCAGTTTCTTTAGAACAATATGTGTACAAGAGCCCACTTGCTTGCAACCAGCCATGTATAAAAGGTGTGATCCATTCAGCTAGACAGGATTGTAGTTCTGCAAAGGAACATTGTCCTCTTCGCTCAAGGACTAATGTGCTCCTATTTTGTTACTGATCTTAAGTCTCATATTATGCATTCACACATTTCCCCAACAAGATATTCTAAACAAAAGAATAAAGCAAAGGGAAAACCTATACTAACGTGATACTGTAGTTTGATCATCTAAGCTGACCCGACTTAGATGTTTAGTTTGATGCATTTATGGTGAGGAAGTCACCTTAGAGACATCTGAAAGAACAACTCCCACTTCGCTGGGGGAGAAAGAGAGTCAACATGTTGCATCTTTCCCTCACCATCTTCATAGCCTCACCTCCTCTTAACCTTTTCAATCTAGGCTAGCAAGTTCTCAATTTTAAAAGTTTCTGTTTAAAAGTCATTATTGCTTGGTCTTCCCATACTATGTGCTCCTTGATTAAACCTATAAGACTAACTTAAATCATATGCTCCTCAAGACAGGAACCAAGACTTCCTACACATCATTTAAGCATTTTTGGAAAAATGTTGAACTCAATGATTTTATGTATAGTACAAATTATTCTTTACTTGTTTTTTCTTACTAGAAATGTTTGCATGACTTTCAAGTTTCCTGTTCTTTAAACTAAAAATCTTAAAAACCAACAAGAGTTGCTGTCACTCAATAGAACAAGCAGAGAAGACTGGGGACTTCAGATTAGGCATACAACAGGAACAGTTTTCCCAACCCTTCAGAGGCTCCTCTCAGCTAAGAGCTCCTGGCTTCAAAGAGCTAGTTTGCCCACCAGAGCACAAATTTAAATCTCTCAGTAGGTCTATGGTTAGAGGCCTTAATGTACCACCTAGAAAAAAAAAAAAACAGGAAGAAAATGCAACTACAAACCAACTCCCGAAACATTGCTACAAATAGCTACACCCCCTTTACACTAGTCCACTAAAAGGAATTTCCCTGCATACTCGTTTCTGTCCTTCATGCAGGTTTAAAGCAAAAAAAAAAAAAGATGCAGCTCTTATTCCTACACTTCTGTTGAAGTATTCTGGGCTGCCCTCAGGCCCCAACAGAAATTAAAACTACCTCCCAGCCCCAAAGCTATAAATGTCTTTTTTTTGCCAGGTGGTAGAATAGGAGTTACAGCATCTTTTTTTTTAAACCAGGGGAACCAGGAAGGGGAGAGAGGGGGTGCTACATTGTCCTCATTTTCCCCATAGATGGAAAAAAGGTAAGTTCAGAAGCTTTTCTGCTTTCTCCTTAATAAAAAAAGTCATGAAAGAGCAGTTTATGGACCATTCTGCTCCTTTTCTTCCTCAAATGTTCTGAAGAAAAAAAAGATAGCAGCTCCCAGGTCGTCAGTGTACTTGAAGTTTATTTCCCATCAAGCATGTAGCAGCATCTTCAGGGGAATGGGGGAGCCAAGTTCTTCCATAACTTGGGGGGGACACTAGCAACAGCCAGCTTCCTTTCCATTCTCAAATCTTATACACTCTGTGGTGTGGAGTAGGAATAGAAGTGGCAAAATTCTTCTCTCAAGCCTCATTTTCTCATCCAGCAACACTGCTACTGTACTCTGACTCTTGCCTACACTTATTTGCAAACATGCCTATAGAAGGCAATACTTCTAGTAAAGATGCAGCTTATACCAGCCACTATTACCCTCAAGTAAGTAAGTAACATATACCAGCAAGAGTAACTTTTTGCCAGTTTTTCTGTATCTATAGTAAGATTTTCCCTAGGTATAGCCATATCGGTTAGGAATACGATTCCCCCCAGGCTTAACCAGCATAAATATTTCAGCAAAACTTAAGTAGACAGCTGTTTCATCTTTGCAATCAGCATGATCTATGTGGGGTGGAAGCTCCACGATTAAGTTTGGGGATGATACTAAGGTGTGGGGAAATGCGGGCAAACCAGAGGATAGAGTAAAAATCCAGGATGACCTTGACAGATTGGTTTTGTGGGCAAAACAGAATCAAATGAAGTTTAATAGGGAGAAGTGCAAGGTTCTTCATCTGGGTAGGAAGAATCTACACCATGATTACATGACGGGTGGTGGTACAGTAGCTGGCATGGGATTTGCAAGGGGTCACCACTGACCAGAAGATGAACATGAGCCAAGTGTGATGAAGTCACCAACATAGCAAATAGAACAGCAGCGTGCAACAGTCAGTGTGTTGCCAACAGATCCAGGGGAGGTCCTTCTACCTCTGTTCAGCGCTGGTGAGATGACAGCTGGAATACTGTGTCCAGTTCTGGGTGCCACACTTCAGGAAGGATGTAGATAAAGTTCAAGAGGGTATAAAGGAGGGCCACCTGTATGATTATGGGCCTGGAGACTCTGGGAACTGGCCCTGATCAGTTTGAGTAAGAGAAGGCTGGAGCGGTGACTTGATAGCTGCCTAACAAGTATGTCAGAAGCGAGCATCAAGATCTAAGGGAGCAACTCTTCAGGAAGACATGTCAAGGGAGGACAATGACCAATAGGCACAAGCTAATAGAGAGTAAATTCAGGCTGAACATAAGAAAACAAACAAACAACAACCACCACCCACACACTTGTTTTCTGTAAGGGTTACCAGAACCTGGAACACTCCCAGAAGAGGTAGTGCAGTTGACATCTTCGGAGGTGTTCAAGATGAAGCTGGATAAGCACCTTGTTGAGCTCAACTGAGCCCAATAAACTTCCTGCCCATGGCAGGGGACCAGACGTGATGATCTTGCAGGTCCCTTCTGGTCCTTCTATTCAATTCTACGAACTTATGTTAGAAACTAACAAGATACAGAAGTTGTATGCTCCTATAATACTGTCTAGAGTATTTAAATTCATCCATTTCAACTTGCTCCATTGGAATAACCCCTACTCTCTATTTTGGTTAAATGAATCATAGGGTGGGAATGAACCTCAAGGGTCATCTGGTCCAGCCTCCTGCACGTTATTCCTAAAGAGCACAGAAACGTTGCTTTGTCCTATGTCACAGAAGTGTTCCCTTCCCATATGATATCATGTTTTGGTTACATCTAAACAAAGACAAAAAGGTGTTTTTATCACATTAGGTAATACATAATTGATTTTAGGATTTTACTGTATCTGTTTCCCCCCCCACCACAATTAAGTTTTGCCTTGTCCACACTTGGCCATGACTGCATGATGTCTATTATTTGATTAACTCATCTTCCTACCCTAAAGAGGTGGTCTCAGGCTCCCTCTACGCCAGGGGCAGACAATTGTATGTGGAAAGCCACATACTTTGGTTTGGCAAGCCATCAAGGGTGCATGACAGGCAGCCAGGGGCAGATAAATATTAGTTTTCTAAATTTTTTTAGACCGATAGAATGGGCTGGGGGGCTGCATCTGACCCACGGGCCGCACTTTGCTCACCCCTGCTCTAAGCGCAGGAGTTGCACTATGTGATGCTGCTCCAATGCAGTCAAGGCTCTGGAATCAGACTCCTAGAAATTTAAGTTCACTACAGTAGCAGGGCTGACATAAAAACAGGAAAACAGAGACTAAGCAAGGACAATAAGGACCTAAAAATTTTATTTAACCCAACTTAGCAAAACCCGTGTGCACCCTTTCATGGAGACTATCTAGTGTATTGGCTTACTTAGAAAAGTAAAAAAAAAATAAAATAAGTCAACGGAGGCAAAATTAAGGAAGTTTAATCCATTAACTACACTTACGCTAAAACTAGTTTCCACACAATAGTTCACACCATTTTAGCCAAGCTGGTTGATGAAACAC